TCACCATCACCATCACCTTCACCTTCACCACCAGCATCACCATCAACTCCTCATCACCATCACCTTCACCTTCACATTCACCACCAGCATCACTTTCTCTTCCCCATCACCATGACCATGTCACTTTCCCATTACTACCACCACCACCTCCACTGCTGCAGGGCCTAGCCTTGGGTCCTCATAGAGGAATGCTTATCTTGCTCATTGTGCAGCAGGGAAGTCCCAACTTAGAACGCTATGTTTTGGGACAAAGTGCTGTCAGAACACTGGTAAGCACAATTTCCTTGTTCCTTTGACAAGAGGTCATTCCCCTGTTGGTGCAGGGTCGGGCTACGTGGCAGTTTCTGGACTCTTGGTGCCTTGACTTCCGTAAGATGATATGTATGTATCACGTCTGGCCTATCATGACTGTTATAAGTAACCTGGCACATACCTGCTATAAAAGCCATTCTTGCTGCACAATAAAGCAGATGCTGTTCTCTGAAGCCATCTCCGCAGTGGTTCCTCCACGCCCCTGAGCTCCCCACATTTGATGTTGGAGCATTAAGCGCCTCAGCACTTCACCATCATCAGCATTTGCTATTTTTCCATAATCTGTTCTGGGTTCTTGTCTTTCCTTTTGCCTACAGTGGCAGCTCCTATAGATTATGGGTTTTCTGCTTTTCACTTTCTAATCCTCCACACATCACCTTCTGCACAGATAGTCAGAGCCAGGACTTGCCCTCTAGTCCAGTGATTGTAACACATATTGCAACAATCATAATGACACTCCACCCTTCCCTGGAGCAAAAGCATGGCCCAGAAGGGTACCTTCCACTGACCACTTAGGAACTGAGACTTCTGGCCTAGAACCCATTCATTTCTGGCCCGATAGCTGAGAACCCAAGAGGGCCTGAACTGTTAGAAATACTGGATGTCATGAGAAATCAGACACATACTTGGAAGTAGCTCGGCAAGGCAAAATTTACTTCTGCAGAAGGGTGTGCTACTGAACAAAGTCTGGCAAGCAAACACCTGCTTTTATCTATAACACAGCACTGCCCCTTGCTGTGATAGGAGAAACTCAGGGTTACAATCTAAGAGATTAGCTAATTTTAAAATTGGGGAAGGCAAAGGGAAGGGTTATAGTTACAATTGGATACAGGTTTGGAAACTTAAAATGGCTAGTTGGGTTATTTAAAGAAATCCATAGGCCATGGTGCTATTGTGTAACTTTCCATTCTGATCTATTTCCCCTCTGGCTGCCTTTCTTACATCCCAATTTTATATTTAAGGATAAATACTATATTCTGAAAATGGACCACCAGAGTTTCTATGTCTTAGCCTGGAGCTAAGAATGCCCTCAAACCCCTCGCCCACCTGCCTGATTTACATCTGTCCCCAGGAACCATGGAATTCACATTTACTCAGTACTTGCAGGACAAGGTACATGGGATGCAATGGGATACAGTGACAAATGGCCTCAGTCTCTTCCCTAAGACCTTGATCATCCTTCCAGAAAGGAACAACTACAACCATAGATACCCCGGCAAGGGGCCAAGATAGGCCTAACAAGAAGCCATAACAAGCTTGGTGAGGATGTGAATGGGACAGTCATTCAAACTGGGTGGTACATCATGGCGCCTTATTGAAGACATTAGAGGTGGTCCTTGGAGACTGGGTATTGGGGATGGAGGACAGGTCAGGAGATGTGGATCCGGAATTTGTACATGCTCCTGGGAGTGAGCTGAATTAGATGGGGTGGGGGGTGCGGCTTTAGCCCTCACAGGGCACAGGAGGACGTCAGCCCGGCAGCCCATGGGGCATTGGGGACAACTCAAGGTGGTGAATGCCCTAGATGTCGGGCTGATAAGTCGAGCCTTTCCCTTGGGGATGCCTTTCTTGTGGAGTGAGATATGCTATAATGATGGAGGCATTTCACCCTCAGGACCACCCTATGAACTAAATGTCCCCGTATAACAGACGTGGAAACAGAGGCCTGCCCACCGGGCCTCACCCGGAGGCCCCAGCATGGAAGGCTGAGTGGGTGCCAGGCCTCTCTGTGTGCAGGCCTCACGGGCCGTTCTTTGTCTGCTCCCCACAGGTGTTCGTGCTCTGCCACGGCCTCCTGCAGCTCTGCCAGCTCCTGTACAGTGCCTACTTCAAGAGCAGCCTCACCACCATCGAGAAACGCTTTGGGCTCTCCAGTTCTTCCTCGGGTCTCATTTCCAGTTTGAACGAGGTAAGTAGGAGGTACCGGGCCATCAGCTCCCACTTGTACACCACCCTGATCACAGGAAGCAGGAGGAGCAGAATAGGGGATTGTGGGCTGGGGGCTGGAGGCCTGGGTATACCTAGGGCTCAGGCCTCTCTCCGTATCAGGACACAGAAGGTACCCTCCTAAAGTTGGCCTTTGACTTGGATAATACCCTGGCATGTGTTGGCCTCACTCATGACAGACAGCAAGGAAAACAAGTCTCTGACATTTGTGTCACCACAATCCTATCTGCCCTTTGGCACTGGCACATAGTGAGTGAATAGCCCACAGGCCTCTTTCCTACTGAGTCTGGACCCTGCCCTTGAATCCTTCTCGGCACAGTGTTCTAGTTTCCCAACACCCCTCTACTAATCAGAACCAGAGCTGGCACGGAAGGCGAATACTCTTTTCCAGCTCAGCCCCCCCAAACTGGCCAATCTATCATCTGCCATGGCTGTTTTCACCCATATTGTCCCTGAGCTTGGAAGAAAAGTGTGGGTGCAGGAACAATTAGAGTTTTCAAGGGGCAGGGAGTAGCTGGCTGTTTAAGACAGCAGGCTGGTGAGGCGCATTAGGGTGTCATATTGCCCCAGAGCTATCATTCATTCAACCCAGATGAAAATGTCTTAACCACTAAATCTCCCCTTCCCCAAACTGCAAGAATCTGACTCCACATCATGGCCATGGGTACAACTCCAAACAAATACCACCAAAGTATTCGTTGTAAAGAGTTCATTCTTCAGTCCTAGTGTATATGTCTGTGTGTGTGTGTCCATGTGTCTAAGTAAAATTGTGTGTTGCTGTGTGTCTGTGTGTACTTGTGTGCATCTGTTATTTCTGTACATATTGGTGTCTGTGTGTGTCTGTATATGTGTGTGACTATTCAAGTATCTGTGTATATATTTGTGTGTGTGACTATTTGTGTGCCTCTCTGTGTGTGACTGTGTATGTCTATGTGTATCTATATCTATGGGTGTCTGAGGATTTATGTGTAACTATGTGTCTATTTGTGCATGACAGTGTGTATGATTGTGTGTATGTCTACATCTGTGTCTGGGAGCCATGATTTATGTGTGACTGTGTGTATCTGTACCTGTATGTTTTCATGTCTTATGCGTGACTATGTGTCTGTGTGCATATTTGTGTGTGATTGTGTGTGTGTCTCTGCGTATCTGTGAGTAACTGGAGATTTGTGTGGAACTATGTGTGTGTCCTGTGGGTGCCCACATCTGTGAGTTCTGAGGATTTGTGTATGACTAGGTGTGTGTCTTTGTGTATGTTTGTGAGGCCTGGTGGGTGTGAGAAGAATTCAACCTGGTGCAGGGGACAGGAAGGCCATCTGTGCTGTGGCCTGTGTGGTCTCAGCCTCAGAAACCTTCTTGGAGCAGACCGTGAAGTGAAGGGGCACTGGATAGGCATGAAGTTCAGGGGCAGTAGGAGGGGCTCCTTGAACAAGAGCCATGGGAGTCTTGGCTCTGGGAAGCAGCGGCTCCTCTTGTGTCCTCTACCAGCCAGGGCTGTGGAACCAAGGTGAACAGGAGCCCAGAGCCCCCGGCCCTTAACGCCTGTCACTAGAGCTGTGAGGGCTCTTGGGCTTGAGACACGGCAGAGCAGGACGTGCTACTAATGGGCTTTGTGACAGCTCGAGGTGGCCTCCCAGCTCCTCTTGGAGCTGTCCCAGGGGCACTCCAGGGCTGGAGGCTGAGGCCTGAGGCCTTAGGCCCTCTTCTTGGCATGCACAGCTGCAATTTCAGGAATTTTCTAGAAGGGAAGAGTACTTCTTTCAAAGGGACTGTGCTACTGAAGATGAGTTTGACAGCAAGGTCCTAAGCCAGCATCAGCCATAACACCTGAGGAGGTGCGCCCCGGGAGAGACCAGAGGACTTGTGCCGCCTGGTGGCCACCACTTGTCCGTTCTCCCTGGGTCCTCTTTGGGGCCTTCGCCCACTGTCACACAGGCCTTTTCAAGTCAGCTCAGTTAGCATAGCCAAAATGGCCTGACAATTGATTATTCTATGGAAAACGATGGGGAAGCAAGAAGGAAAGACAGGACATCCAAGAAGCCAAGAATAAAGCGCTCTTTCCAGAGGCAGATTTCAGAATGTTCTGGAACTCCTCCCCCCTGCAGGGGCTGGAGCAGCTTCTGCTGAGGCTGCCTCCTCATGCACCCTCACATCCTCCTCTGAGTATCACAGCCTCGTACTCTTGGCTGTGCTATAAGCTCCACACAGCGCATCCTCTTCTTAATGAGGCTCCATGTGCCCGTCAGTGCCTTCACTGGCTCAGCTCATATTAATGGGCACCAACTATGTGTCAGGCCCCGTGCTGGGAGGTAGGAATGAACAGAGAGACAAAAATCGAAAGGTTAATGTAATCTCTAGTTACAAAGATAAAGCATCTGGTAGACAAGATTATTATAAGTGAAGAAAAGTCGTTGAGGCCAGGTGCAGTGGCTCAGGCCTGTAATTCCAGCGCCTCAGGAGGCTGAGGTAGGAGGATCTCAAGTTCAAAGCCAGCTTCAGCAACTTAGCAAGGCCCTAAGCAACTCAGTGAGACCCTGGCTCTAAATAAAATACAAAATGGTGCTGGGGATGTGGCTCAATGGTTGAGTGCCTCTGAATTCAATCCCTGGTACCCCTTCCCCCCAAAAAAAGATAGTTGTGGGATCAAAGTGGCAGATAAGAGGGGGGCTTACAGCACTTGTCCCACAAGAAGCCAACCACTCTAATGAAGCCTGGACACTTCAAAGGCAGGCCTAGTTCAAGCCACTTCCTGACCTCGTTATCCTAGGCATGGTATTAATATCCTTCTGTCATTAGTATGATGAGAGTTGTTGTGTGGTTACATGAGCTAATGCTTGCTGCTCGGTTGTCATTCTGTCTACCAAAGTCCTTGGCTCCTTTTGTTAGATCCTGATTGGGTGTTTAGTTGGGGAACACGTACTTTTCCTAGGAGTCAATCAGAATTGGAGACTCAAAAGATTGGTCCTATGATGGTTGATGTTTAGCCTGGGGCTCTTCGTGTCTTCGGAGAATGACTTCCCTAGCGCTGGTCTGGAAGGCGGAGGCTGGGAGGGGTTTTGGACAAAAGGGAAAGCTGAGACTGCGCATGTGTGGCTGCGGGGTCAGGGTGGGGGAAGGCTTTCAGGACTGGCTGGGGGATCTCTGCTGGGGCTCCTGGCTGGAGTTGGAGGAGCCTCTTCCCTCTCCAGTCTTCCGGGTGAGGTGTGGTCAGGTCTCCTACGAGGTGGGTAAGGATGGGATCTGTGGCTCATCCAGTCCTTCCGCTCCTCTGCAGATCAGCAATGCCATCCTCATCATCTTCGTCAGCTACTTTGGCAGCCGGGTGCACCGTCCACGACTGATCGGCATTGGGGGTCTCCTCCTGGCTGCTGGTGCCTTCGTCCTCACCCTGCCACACTTCCTCTCGGAGCCCTACCAGTACACCTCGGTCAGCGTCGGTGAGTGGCCTCTGACCCCTGCCTCACAGGGAGGAGGAACGGGGGTCTACTGGAGGGGTGGTGGTGGATACCACGGGGGCCATGAAAAGGTTTGCAAATCTTATGTCCAATAAAGAACTTGTATTCAGAGTTTGGAATGAACTAACTCTCAAATTCAACCATCAGAAAACAAATAACCTGGGGTTGTGGCTCAGCAGTAGAGCGCTCCCCTAGCCCTCGCTAGGTTGGATCCTCAGCACCACATAAAAATAAATAAATAAGATAAAGGTATTTTATCCAAACTACAACTAAATGTACATATATTTAGTATATTATATATTTAAATAAATATATATTTAAATTATGTGTGTGTGTGTGTGTGTGTGTGTATATATATATATATATATTTAAAAAAAAACACAACAAATAACCCAATTTAAAAATGGGCAGAGGGCTTGAACCAGAGTTTTCTTGACTTTAATTGTTTGGTTTCTCCATAATGCACATCTGAAGCTCAGAACACACTAAAGTATGTAGATATAGATTTTTTTCCCCCTAGATACATTGAGTATTTGTTCCAAGCCCTGTTTGTTGAGGATGGAGCATGCAGCCCCCATCCCCTTCATATGACTCCTGAGGCTCCATGCCAGAAATGACCCAAACTTCACATGCTTGAGGACACTTGTGAACAGTGCCCATGATAATAATTGGAGGAAATAGGGTCCAAGCACCAATCATAATGAGACATGTCATTTCTTGATATTTAATGGCACTTCCTGACATTTGAACATGTGTCCATCATTCTTTAGATGACATTGCATTTCTACAGTGCATGCATTTGTTCCCCTGGACACTAGTGAAGAGCAGAGAAAAGGTATAAGTTAAGGATTCACAGATGTCCAGTGACTTCCCCTAAGGACCAATTGGTTGAGAAGAGAGAGAGAGAGAGAGGCTTAGATCTCTTGACCCTTGAAGAAATGCTCCTTCTGGGATCTGCACCTCTCCTTGGTGAGATATCCGGGGCAGGATGAGATGGGTAGAGTTTGCATGATTCATAAGCATTGTATTAAATGGTACTAAATTTGCCCAGGAACTGGGCAAATTAACTTTAAAAAAGTTATTCTATTTTCATATGAAAAAATTCAAAGCATTGCAAAGTAAATAATGTGACACATATCTATGTATTGACCATCAAGATTTAGTGGTTTTCCTTCAGAACTTAAAAAAAAATAACTGTATTGAGATTTACTTCACATGGCATATAATTCATCCATTTTAAGTGCCTAATTTAATTAATTTTGATATACTACATTATTTTTTCTAAACTTTGATAAGATGAACATAATATAAAATTTGCTGTCTTAACCATTCAGTGTTGTTAAACACATTCTAAATGTTGTCCAAGCACCACTGAAAATATTTCCAAAATGTTTTCGTGGCTCCAAATAAAAATTCTGTATCCATAAGCAATATCTCTCCACTCCCATCCCCAGAGCCTGGTCACCTCTCATCCAGTTGCTGCCTCTATGCATTTGTCAAGTCTAGATATTTCAGGTAAAAGGGGAGTCATACAATACTTATCCTTTGTGCCTATCTTATTTCATTTAGCATCATGTTTTCAAGATTTATCCATGTGGTAGAATAGATCAGATTTATTCCATCATGATTGAGTATATTTTGTTGATGTATGACACATTTTGTTTATGCAGTTATCTGTTGATAGACACTTGGTATTTTTTGGTCAGCTTTTTCACCACTGTGACCAAAAGACCTCACAAGAACAACTTAGAGGAGGACAAGTTTATTTTGGCTCATGGTTTCAGAGGTCTCAGTCCATAGATGGCAGAATTTATTGCTCTGGGCCCAAGGCAGGATTTCATGGCGGAAGGTTGTGGTAGAAGACATGGATCCAGAAAGCAGAGAGAGATCCGCTCACCAGGGACAAAACATAACCCCCAAAAGCACACCCCCAGTGACCTACCTTCTCCAGCCATACCCTCCTGCCTACTGTTATCGCCCAGTTAATCCATCAGTGGATTAATCCACAAAGATTAGGCTATACCTCATAATCTAATTATTCCACCTCTGAAAATTCTTGCACTGTCTCACACATGCACTTTTGGAAGACATCTCATATGTAAACCATAACACTGGGGTTGTCAGACACCTCCTTTTAAAAAGGAAGTTATCTGTTCCCTTCCTCCCTCGCCTCTCCCCCATGGCTAGCTGCTGGCCTGTAGCTGGTGTTCTTAAGCCACTGCTGATGTGTGTACCTACTGTTCCCCCTTCTAGTGTCCTACTTCTTTAGACCTGGTTTTCTTCCCTACTGGCTTATTAGTTACCTTACATTTAAATTTTTTAATAAATTTATTATGCAATAAAATTGACTTTTTTTGCTGGAGGAAGACTACACGTCTATAAATTTCAACATATTTATAGATTCAAGTAACAATCACCATAGTCAGGGTCCCTCCCTACCAGTTCCATTGCCCTCCCCCCAAAATTCCATTCTGCTATTCCTTTATACTCACTCTCCCCAGACCTATAACCTCTATTCTGCTTCTATCATTTCAGATTTATGGCTTTGAGAATATCATGTAAATGGTATTACACCCAGCATGTAACCTTTGAAATTCATCCCAGTTGATCCATGTATCAACAGTTCCCTCCTTTTTATTCCTGACATACTTTGCATGGATGTTCCTCAGTTTATCTACTCACCTACTGAAAGACACTTGGAGTGTGTCCAGTTTGTAGCCATTATTAACAGAGTTGTTATAAATCTTTGTGTACAGGTTTTTGTAGGACTGTATGTTTATGAGGTGAAACATTGTTTCCTGTGCTGTTTGTTATCCAGATGTCATCTTTGGTGAATTGTTTATTCAAGCCTTCAACCCATTGTTAAATGCGATTTTTTTTTATTGTTGATTTTGAGAGTTTGTTATAAATTATGGCTACTTCTTTACTGGATATGAGATTTGCAGATATTTTCCGTATGTCCTTGGCTTTTCCTTTATATCCTTTTAATAGTATCATTTGTAGAACAAAAGTTTTAAATTTTGATGAAGTCCAATTTATCTTTTTTCTAAATTTTACTTTATGACTTGTGCCTGGGGTGCTGCCTTTAAGAACTCTGCCAACCTCAGGACTCAACATGTTTTCTAAAGGTATTCCAGTTTTACATTTACATTTAGATCTGTGATCAATTCTCATTTAAATTTTTATAGCATTTCTTTCTTTTTTTTTTTAGTTTTCCTTTTAGTGTATGTCAAATTGTATCAACACTATTTGTTGAAAAATCCTCTTTCCTATATAAAATTATTTTTGGACCATTATCAAAAACAAATTGAGTTGAGCCAGGGACACAGATCAGTAGCAGAGCACTTGCCTCCCATGCACAAAGTCCTGGATTTCATACACAGCAATGCCCCCCAAAAGGATCATATTCATGTGGGTCAGTTTCTGTATTTTCTATTCCACATTATTGATCCATGTGTCTATCTTCTCCAATATTACAAGGTCTTTCTTACTGATGTTTCATGGTACATCTCCAACTTTGTTATTTTTCAAAATTGTTTTACCTATTTTAATTCATTTGTCTGTCCATATACATTTTAAAATTAGTTCATCTGTACTTAAAAGAAAAATCCTTCTGGAATTTTTATTATAATTCCAGATCAATTTGAGGACAATTAGCATGCTTATTATGTCAGGTCTACTTACCTGTGAACACAATATACTTCATCATTTTTCTTAAATTTAACATTGACCTTGATTTAGCAAACTCCAAAGTTGATCTATTCTTCAAGAGAACAAGATAAGAATCCTAGGATATTTTGATGCCCCTTTCCTCTCCCATATTATGGCTGAATAGCATTTTAGTTCCATCTGCATTTAATCTCCATAGTGGTCATTAGTATTTTTATTATATTGCTACATATAAATAAGTTGAAGTTTATTTATATTTACCCACAAGTTCGCCAGGTTTTTTTTTGTTCAGCATTGCTTTTTGTATTTCACCCTTCCTGCTGATTCAATTCCCTTTCTCCTGAGTATGTCCTTTGATGCTTCTTTCAAGTAGGCCCATGAGTGAGAAAAATCTCCTTTTGACTTAAAACGAGCCAATTTTATCTTTGTTCTTGAATTATAGTTTAGCTACAAACTATATAACTGTATATTAAATAAATACAAACTTTTAAACTAATGGTTATTTCTTCTGAGTGCTTTGAAGATAACATACCGACCTGTCTTTTGGCATTTCTTGATGGTGTTGGGACTGCTAATTATCATTCCTTTTTAGGTATGCCATATTTTCTATCTAGTTGTATTTAAGAGTTTTTGTCTTTTCTTTGTTGTTCTGCATGTCTACCATAAGGTATCTGAGTTTGGAAGTTCATGGTGCTGTTTTTCTGGAGATTAGGCTTGAAGATTAAGGTGTTTGTTATTTTTTTAATTCTGAAAAATGCTAAGCCAAAAATGCTCCTAATGTTACACCTTTTTTTTTTTTCCTGTCCTTTCTTTAAATTCCTTCTACAAATGTATGCTGGTCATTTAACTTCTGGCCTTATTGTACTTGATCTCTCTTATATACTTTTCAGTGCTTTGTTCACCTGCACTGCATCCTGGGTGATTTCCTTCAAGCAGATCTTTCTGATTCTTTAGCCTCTCTTTAGCTTTCTTAGTGTCAAGTCTGTCTTTTACATTGTGAATTTTAATAACTCTATTTGGCTAGTTTCTCAGAGTTCTTATGATGGTTTTGCAAATCTTTCTGCCCTGATTTCATGATTTCTTGGTGTTTTCCTTATGATTTCTATTTTTTCTTTAATGTTTTCAATTATTTTAAATATGTTTATTTTATGGTCATCTTTTTCCAGTTTTGCTACTGGCTCAAGTTTGAGGAATGTTAATCCTCCTGCTGATTAGTGTCTGCTTGCTCTTGTTCATGGCAAACCATCTCTTTGTATGGTCTACAATGTTTGACCATGGAGCCATTTACAGTGGCATTTTTTTTTCCCCCTCTG